GTGATCAGCTCCTATTCTCTAGTCTAAAGAAAACCCTTGAGTCATCAGCTTACCTATAAACAAATCTAGTGTTCTCCCTTGAACTATTGTAATTTCTCTACAAAAATCCCTACTCACCCTCTAGTCAGGGTTCTGATGCTTAGATCCACACTATGCATCAGTTCCACTGGAACTCCATCTCCTGACTGATCGTGCTGCCTGTCTCCAGCATTCAGAACCCAACTCCTTCTGTCTATCTTTTAGGTTGGAGACTTCTTCCTCCAGATTTCAATTCAGCTCATCTCCTTCACAGGGTTCCTGCCCATCGTCTCTTGTGTACCCAATGTTTCTCTCCCTAGGCAGAGATATTTTTCTTTCCTTGGCCAACTCTTTGAATTCAGCCACCAGCAACAGCTTCGCCTTCTGAAGGTCAGCTGTGTCTTGCTTGGTCTGTCCCAGCTGCTCGGCCATCTCTTTCACTGCTTGAACCACCTCAATCTTGTCCGGAGGGGGAGGGGGGAAAAGGGAGGTGTGTAACGGGGTGGACTAGGCCCTGAGGCCATCTGCTGGAGACCTTGAGGCCCTGCCACAGTTCCTGCGACACATTAGATATATTGCTCATGTTCTCTCCCTTCAGGGCAGAGACTGGAGGCTGAGTCTTGCTTTCAGGAAAAGGGTTGTTCAAGCCCCACAACTGCTTTCCCATTTCTATCACGTGGGCCTCAGTCCTGCTTCCTTGTCTAACCAAAGTTTGCCAATTGGGGAAGGCCTGGCTCTATGATAATACCAGTACTGCCTTCCCAACAGAGTTTTTTTCAGGGCAATACCTTCTTATGTGGCCCATTTCCTCACAATGGAAACATTGTCCCTGGGGCAGCCTTCCAAGCCCTAAACTGAGTCTAAATGGTCCTCTGTTCTGCCTTCACTATAGCCTGGGCCTCAACCGTTTGTGGCCAGGTGTCTTGGTCAGCCTGGCCTTCACTGGTCTCAGTGGCACTCAAGGCAACTGGTATGACCTTACAATCATGGCTTGTATCAGGGTAAACCCATCTCACCTGCCCCACTTGCCTACAGTACCTGCCGCTCTGCGGTGAGGTCTTCCAACTCTTTCCTTCGCGGCATCTGCGGTAGCTGGGCCTGGATGGACGCTGCCGAGGCTGCCAAGCGTGAGACTGGTGACCCTGGAGTTGCTGCTGTTGAAGCCCCTCCAGGGTTTTGCTGTGCTGTTGCTGGGCAGCTTTCTGGGGTTTTGCAGCTCCCGCTGGTCTAGAGCTGATAATAGCTCTTCCATGGTCCCCTTGTTTACAGGGGATGGTCCGAACAATCCCCGCTTCTGGTACCAGTGTAATGGGATCACATTCACCTCTCACGAGCGCCCTCTGGCCGAGTGCGTGTACCTGCTCTCTCTCTCCACCCGTTTGTGGTAGTCTTCGCTGACTTAGCCCTCCAGCTAGTCACACACTGTCTATCTGTTAAAAGCAAAGCAAACCCCTTCCGGGGTACAAGTCCAACAGGGACCTCTCTCATCGCCCCCTGTAATGTCTCTCTCAGTTTGTCCCTGCTCTGGAATAGAACAGTGCCGTAGGGCTCCTTCCCTGGAAGCAATGTCTTTGCCCTCTCAGGGCCTCTCTGGCCCCAGCTCTTCAGCTGGGCCACTACAGTTCAGTCCCCGTTCTGGGGTGCCTCGAAGTCCAGGCCACTTCCCCTAGTGACTAACTGGGGTTTGGGGAGGATCTGGGCTCACCCATTACTTGGGGTCCCAGACCAGGGACTCTGTAGATAGATAAAGGGACACAGCAACAGCTACTAAGTTTCAGAGTAGCAGCCGTGTTAGTCTGTATCCGCAAAAAGAACAGGAGTACTTGTGGCACCTTAGAGACTAACAAATTTATTAACTCATATGTTTTCAATGATAACAGCCCACTTCTCCATATGCATCCGAAGAAGTGGAATGTAGTCTGCGAAAGCTTATGCACTA